ACGGGCATTCGATCTCACGTTTCAAACCAGCTCTATCTTATCTTGTATTTATTCTTTTCAAGGTTGTGTGGCATTGCAAACATGGGGTTGCAAGGAAGCAATAGAGTTGATTGATAAAGGCATTCCAGGTCGTTATCATGACGTTTCAACACATGCCGGGCCTCAGAGCTTCGAGCAAGGAGGACAGAGAGATGAAGACGAGATGGAATTGGACGACGAAGCTGAAGTCTCTCCAGGCAACTCACTCTATGACACCGCAGACGGATTGATAAAGCTCTGGCAAGGGACTGATTTACGACAAGGACCAGGAGGGCAGTGTCGGAACTTTACGTGCCCGCCAGAGGTCCATGAGAGGGTGTCGAACTGGCTGATGGCGCAATGAGTCCAAGCTCTCCATTCGAACACGGGCATTCGATCTCACGTTTCAAACCAGCTCTATCTTATCTTGTATTTATTCTTTTCAAGGTTCCTTGTAGCTCTCTTGTACACATTAGCTTTCTCTTGACTGTAGAATTTTGCTTACTCGATGCTGAATAAATCTCTGTGCGATTTCATCAACACACACAAGGTGTGTTTGATCATATGATTGTAAACTAGATGGATTTTGGCATTGGTGTGACTGAACCTTGTTCATGATGGTCATCACGTCGTCTATCTATCTCGTCTTCGAATACTCTTGGTTCAGTTACTATCGCTACATACAGTGACATAAATTGAATAGTATAGCCCCGAGGGGAGCCAATGACTTGTTTGAAGTATTGTGCTCTCTAATTGGAATCCCCCTACCTTTATCTACAAGGACAACCTTTGGTATTTGGGCACACGACGGAGAGGACTTTGTCATGTGTCTTTTCGTCTATCCAGGTAGTACGATTTGAGTTGCTGCGCGTCGTGACTAAGTAGACCTGTCTCCCTTGTGGCAAATGTCGAAACACTTGGACTCGACTATGACCGCACATATCCGCCTCTCATTCTACTTGATAGACCAATGGGTCACTTTCATTTCTATCCCACGAGGGGAATTTACCAATTACACTACTAGACCTCTGAAATGGCTACGATATGTTGGCTCGACGATCTATGGTCGAGAGGGTATTCTCAAAGGGGGACCAGATGACTCAGAGATCGAAGACTACACGACAGAGGATGTGAATATCCTGCTTTCCGAGTATTTCTACTATTCGGCAGGTGAGTGGGGTTGTGGCAAA